ACGTGACTTTGGCATTTTGATACGCGCTCCGAACCACTGTTTCGAAACAATTGATTCGCAAAGGTTTCGAAGCTTCATGAAGCAGTGTTTCAAAAGCGGCCATCGCTACTCTAAATGTATATCTTAACTAAAGGTATATCTTTTCTAGGCGTGATCCCCGGACTATACCTTAGGAGGCTGCTTTAGGTTGCTTCCTGTTAGAACGCAACGAAATTGCTTGAAACTTTTACTTTCGCTTTGCAACATACATCATGTCAGAGAAGAAAACCAAGAATGAAAAATATATGCCCAGAGCACCTCCCAGTGGTCACCACATAAAATACAAAGAAAAAAACCTACATGAGACAGCTTAATAATTTAACAGCTTTTAACAAAAGAAAAAATAAAAACATAGGCCTACACAAGTCCAACATTTCTGGTAAGAGTGCTTTCCAACAAGAAGCACTTCAGAAATAGTTGAAATTGCATTTATCAGGACTCGTAGGATCTTAAAAAGATAATCCAAATTGCAAACTAAATCCAACCTTGGATATTTTATATAATTTCGAAATGGGTGCGCGAACCCGCAACTTCATGTGTATCATGCACTAACCGGCAGTACACCTTCACTGGCCTTTGAAAGGGTCATTTATATTATCATATTACATTTTTATTATTATAATTTTTTTTAGAATTGCAGCTTCGGACATGGTATCCAGGAGACTAAAGTTTTAGTGCACATACACTAAATGGCTCCGCGGACGGCGCAGTCTTTGATTTACACAACCATTCGCTGTATCGCTGCCATAGTTTGACCAAACTCCCCACCACAGTCCTTTTCACTTTAAACAGACTCCTAAGCCTTTACTGCCTAATGCTTTGCCAGCTGATGTACCTTTGGAAAATATAATTAAAAAAAGCTAACAACCATCAGTCTAATGACAGTTTTATTCTTTGCATGAAAACACTTCAGTTGAAGTGAGTGTAATTTGAACACTGAGTGTATTACAACTTCAGAATTATATTTGTATAGACTGAGATGTAATGAACTGTGAACAGTGATAAGGTACAGCTAAGACTGGTCCAGACCAACCTTATCAAATTATGACTTAACTCTACTTAACCAAGAACGTTTCGGGAAACACGAATTAACGATAATGTACAGCTGAAGGTATAACTTAAGAATGAATAGCGTTAAGAAGGTTTCTGGAAACACAGCCCAGATTTCTGTACTCAAAAATCATGCCATAGTTTATTATTAATTATTTGTATTTAAATCATTTTCAAAACGCATTTATTGAATTAGAGGGAGAGAGAGAGCTTGGAGTCAGCGTGCAACTGTTCATTGTGAAAATTACATTGTCAGTTAAAAAGTATGAATATGGTTTATGGCTGTAAAATTTCCATCAATAAAAAAAAAGTTAAATTAGAGGGAGAGAGAGAGCTTGGAGTCAGCGTGCAACTGTTCATTGTGAAAATTACATTTAGTCAGTTAAAAAGTATGAATATGGTTTATGGCTGTAAAATTTCCATCAATAAAAAAAAAAAGTTCACATACAGGGTTATTATATTTAAATAAAACTGAAAACAATTTTTTTTTACTGAAAATAAACCGAAATAAAATGTAAATAATAATAAATAAACTTATTTTAGCTACATTTCCCGTTTTAATTTATTTTAACTTGATGTAATGAAATAAAAATTAACAAGTAGACATAAAAAATAAAAAAAGTACTAAAAATGACAAACAAAATTACTACAATTAAAATAAACAATGAAAATAAAATAAACCGAAATAAAATGTAAATAATAATAAATAAACTTATTTTAGCTACATTTCCCATTTTAATTTATTTTAACTTGATGTAATGAAATAAAAATTAACAAGTAGACATAAAAAATAAAAAGTACTAAAAATGACAAACAAAATTACTAAAATTAAAATAAACAATGAAAATAAAAACTGATTAAAAAAATTTATTCTCAATTATATTAAAATAAACTTAATTTGATGCATATTTGTCAGTTATACATAAATTAAACTTAACGATTTGCATCTATTTGATTTCAATAAATGCATTATGAAAATAGGATTCAAATTGCTTAGTTGGAATCAGCATAAACCTGTTCATTGTAGAAAATAATTACATTTATTCAGTTAAAAAGATGGATAAAATATACGTAGCTGTGGAACAAGCAATATTCAATTAGTTAAAATGTATGAGATTGAAAAACTGGATTTATTTATTTAAAAAATATAAAGCTGGTTATTGTGCATTTAAAACGCATTCGGTTTATTAGTACAATACCAGAAATCTGACCCGTTTTATTTATGCATGACTGACAAATATGCATCACATTAAGATTAGTTCGTTAAAACCGTAATCCAAATGCATGAGAATTTTATATGCAATGCAATTCAAATGCATAAGCCTAAATGTATTTGCATGGATTTATTGACTTTTACGGCTCACATCAGTATTGTCTATAAGTGAGAGCTCAAACGCTCACCTGCAGCTGTGATTGACTGGTGTGTTTCTGCTGCTGTGTGTGTGGGTCAGAGGTCAGCTGAGGTCGTGTTAAAGCGCTGATTACTTTAACGAGTGAATGTGTTAGCCAGCCTCCCCTCTGCTCACCATATGCTCCCTATCACCGCTGATCAGAGCAACATCAACCCAGATTCACTCCTCAGAAACATTCATGCCTTCTTTAGGGAATTCAGCACAAGTGATAGAATTATATGAAATTATATAAATTGTATATTTATGTGACATTTATATTATGCATTTCTCACTTGTGCTATATTATTGAGAGAAAATTATGATAATTTTTTTTAGCATTAGTGGGCTGTCATATTAAGATTTTATTACTGTTGCATTAAAATAACTTTTCAATTGGCATACGGTTTTAATTAATTTATATATTTTAAATTATTATAAAATTAATTGCATTAGAATAACTTTTAAATTGACCTGCATGGACTGTTTAATGTTATGATAAAATTTTATTTTTCATTGATTAAAATCTAATTCTAATAGTATTAATGTAGTGTTTTAATTATTAAAATTAGTATATTTTTATTATAAAATTAATTGCATTAAAAGAACACTTAAATTGGCCTACACTGACTTTCTTCAACGTTATGATAATATTATTTTATTTGATTGATTCAAGTAATTCTAATAGTATTAATGTAGTATTTTATTTATTACAATTATTATAAATTATTATTATAAAATTAATTGCATTAAAGAACTTTTTAATTGGCCTGCATTGACTTAGTTTGATGTTATGATATAATATTTTATTATTTTAATTAATTGATTAAAATATAATTCTAATAGTATTAATGTAATATTTTAATAATATTAATATATAAATAATAATAACAAATTATTGCAGTAACTTTTAAATTGGCCTACACTGGCTGTTTAATGTTATGATATGATATATTATTTTAATATTTTAATTGATTGATTAAAAATGTAACTCAAATAGTCAAAAACTGTATTCAATTACGAAATTTTAAATTTATAATTGTAATAATTAATTTACTGTTTTAATGGTACATTACAATAGTTTTTAAAATAACTTACATTCATGAAAGTTAAAATAAAGTATATTTTAAATAATTATTTTCAATCTCTTTATTAGTGTCTCTTATATTCTCTGTAGGCCTAAGAGTATAATATTTGTGTGACAAAACTGAAAGTTTCTGTAGTTTTAGTCAAGCACCTTTTACCTACAATAATCAAGCTATTAATAAACAAAGATGAAGTTATGTATGTCACACCTTTGAAAATCTAGAGACATGATGCGTCTCTGTGTAGAGCTTCACTAAATACTCAGATGTTAGTCTGCATTTCAGACACACCCTGATGGTAAACAGCATCTAGTGCAGTGCGAGCAGCTGCTGCCCTCTGCAGGTCATCACGTCCATTACAGTTCACACAGATCTGTGCATTTCTCTGCCTCTGTTTACAGCCAGCTTTTCAGTCGAGACGGACTGCCATTTACATCTAGTATTAATATCTGTGAGCTTTTACACATCACACACTACAGCAGAAAGATATTAATACACAAAGCAAAAAAAAATTAATAAATAAACAAGGCACACTTGCTCCAGAATAGACTTCAACGCATCCACATCCCTGATGTTTTGAGCAGAATGCTTGTTATTTTAGTTGAGCAGCTGTTTTAACTGAACTTTAGCTTTAATATGATCAGCGCTACTGAGATGTTGATATCAGTCATACCATTTGCAGACCTGTGCATATTTAGGCCGTTTAATAATATTATTGTAATATTTTAATGAATTACATGTAATTCTAATAGTATTAATGTAATTTTAATTAATATAAATTCTAAAAAATATTTTACCTTGTAAATGAAGTTATAAATTAGCAGAAGTGACAATTATATTCAATTTTAATTTTAATAATTTAATTTGAATAGTATTGATGTAATTTTAATGATAAAAATATCCATTATATTTTATTATAAAATATAAATTTAAATGAACACAAGTGACAATTATAACAATAATAAATATTAATAGATTAAATGTAATTTTTAATTGTTAAAATGAAATTATACATATAATTATGTATAATAATTAGTAGTATTTATAGAGTTTTAGCTTTTAGTTTTAATTACTTTTTCTTATTTGTAAGTCGCTTTGGATAAAAGCGTCTGCTAAATGACTGAAAGTAAAAGTAAAAGTAAATATATATCTATCTCACTTTACGTGAGTGTACTGTATTTTATGCGGATAAAGTTGGACATATATACAATTTTATATAATTCTGTTTGTTCACAATACAAGTGTGATGCAATTTTTTTATAATATAATGCAATGCAATGCAATGATAAAATGCAGTGCAATATATCATTGTCCAACTTGAATCTGCTAAATGCATGCGTGCATGAGTGATTTTGGACTCCATTTCTACCTGTAAAGCACCTTTAGACTGAATATCGGTGATCTGGTTTTCATAATGATCTTATATTCGAATCCTCAGGTGATTATCGAGGTGACTGAGATGCTGCACAACGCCAGTCTGCTGATCGACGACATTGAAGACAGCTCCAAGCTGCGGCGCGGTTTCCCGGTGGCCCACAGCATCTACGGCGTGCCGTCGGTCATCAACTCCGCCAACTACGTCTACTTCCTAGGCCTGGAGAAGGTGCTGACGCTAGAGCACCCCGAGGCCGTGCACGTCTTCACCCGTCAGCTGCTGGAGCTGCACCGCGGCCAGGGTCTGGACATCCACTGGAGGGACACCTACACCTGCCCCAGCGAGGCGGAGTACCGCGGCATGGTGCTGCAGAAAACCGGTGGCCTCTTCGGCCTCGCCGTGGGCCTCATGCAGCTCTTCTCCCACTGGAAACCAGATCTGAAGCCGCTTTTGGACACCCTGGGGCTCTTCTTCCAGATCCGGGACGACTACGCCAACCTGAACTCAAAAGAGTACAGCGAAAACAAGAGCTTCTGCGAGGACCTGACGGAGGGCAAGTTCTCCTTCCCCACCATTCACGCCATCTGGTCGCGTCCTGAGAGCACGCAGGTGCAGAACATCCTCCGGCAGCGCACGGAGAACGTGGATATCAAACGCTACTGTGTGGACTATCTGGAGAAGGTGGGCTCGTTCGCTTACACCCGTCACACGCTGCTGGATCTGGAAGCCGAGGCCTATCGCTTGATCGCTGAGCTCGGAGGGAATCCCGAACTGGAGGCTCTGGTGAAGCATCTGAGTCGCATGTATAAAGAGCCCGGGGGCGGAGCTTCGGCCAGCCAATCGAAAGAGCTCAGAGGCGGAGCTTCGGCCAATCAAAACAATGACTCTGCACTGTGATTTAAACTGTACTGTTACTTTGACTCCACAGCAAATTGCCTTCAGTCTAAAGTCTGTCGTTTTGTCTTTACTGGCCTCTTAGTTACAAATATTGGGGCGATATTTTGTTATAATGAAAATGATCTGTAATTGGCATCTAATGGTGGACAGATGCTGCTCGTTTCAGCCGTAAACAAACTGTCAGAGAAAACAAACATGATTAAATGTCTTATTTCACCACAAAATCAAAGCAAATACATTATTTTGCTTTAAGAAAATTAAGCTAATTTTATGGTTCTTTAAACAATGTTATTTCACCACAAAATTCAAACAAAAATTTTGCTTTAAAAGTTTTTTTTTTCATTGTACAATTATTTTAATATTAATAATATCAACCACAATTAATTTAAATTACATTATTATTATTATTATTAAACGTCTGTTGTATTGCCTTTAATAGAATTTAAATCAGTATATAATATAGGTTACTGTAATAGAGTGAAAATCTAATGATAATCACCACTGAGAATAATTGAAATGAAGACACAGAGGCAGAATATTCTTAATTGGCATGATATTCTCACAAGAAATACATTCAAAAATCATAATTTATACAATTATTTATTTATTTTTATTTTTTGCTGCTTATGATTTTGGGGTGAAATTTGACTTGGACATTTTTTTGATTATTTTTTTTTTCTCATTAAAATATTATTCAATAAGAGATGATTGCCTTCCCCAAGTGAACAGTATACTAGTGTCTAAAGCTTGTCCTGTAGTTTTGCTGAGGCCTTACGTTCACCTGTGCACGCTTTAACACTCCTCAAGTTCATGTCCTTCTCCATTTTAGCAGCTTCTGGTTGTGACTGATGTTTATGATGGTCAGAATTACAGACGGATCCGTCATCTGATGCTCAGATACCTCGGAAATAGTGAAGTGAGGAGATCTCACGTGTTTGATGCGTGACAGGTCACTGGGTTTTACCTTTGAACAAATATACCGTTATGTGTGCGTTTATCAGACTCGTCGTGTTTATGCAAGTTTTTGGTTTGGATGTTTTTTTTATAACTATTCTATGAATAAACACTTTCATACACCGTCTCCTGTGAGTGTGTTTTGTGCTGTTATTATTCTTCTCATGAAGAGAAAATGAATATCTATTGCATGCATTACTTCTGATAAAGAGTAATTAAATTGTTTTGCATTTACTGCTCCGATATTTATTGAGTGAAAAGTTGATATTCTTGATACAGTAAATAATGTTTACTAATTTTGCAAGTCAGTTGCATTTTCAGGTCTGATCTTATTTTCTTATGAAATGACAACAGAATCAACCACGTAGTGGTGCAAGAGACGCAAAAGCAACCGCTAGAATGACTGTTGAACAGAGCGGAGCAGCAAATAGAGTTATTTCACAGTGCAATTGGAGTCGGGTTTTATTCATCTCATTACAGTTATGCTGGTGTGTAGCTATAATAGAAATATTAAATGGAAAAAACATAAAATCATACTCTTAAATCTGAAACTAAAACCGCCAGTAGGTGGCGCTAAGTCACTAGCGTCTTAATGAGCGAGTCATTCATTAGACCGATTCGTTCAAACCCGCGATTCATTCAACGAATCACCGCTGTTTACACTGTTTGTTTGGAACTACTTTCGATAACAAAATAGAGCAATAACATGCAATCTTGTCAAAAATGTAAGTAACTTAATATTAATTAATTTTGATATTCATTTTATACGACATTTCGATTAACATTTGCAATCCGTGTTGATATTACATACTCTTGCTTGTGTTTTATTGCTTTTTTTTTGCCCAAATAGTTTGCATTTTGGGGGGAAATTTATTTTATTTTTTAAAATTTTATTTTTTTTATTTAGTTAGCCCCCATTAATTTCCCGCCGCCATGTAAAACGTATAAAATGTAAATATGTACAAAAAAAACAAACAAAAGATCTGTTTTAAAATAAAAATTTTTTAAAAGTTTGGGAATCCCAGGGCATAGATACAGCCTATTTACTAATCCACACAGAATAAAATAAAATATTATATGCTTTCTGAATGAAAACGAGGCTACAGTCCGTTCACGGTTGTATTGCATGTTTAACGTTGCTGGTGATTTCGCAGATAAAACGTTGAAAATACCGCTTAAAAATTTATCAAACAAACAAAATAAGCTATACTGACACTCAGCCTATTAAATAAACGGTGCTCCCTCACAAAATTGTTTTCATTGCATGTGTGGCGTTTAGCTTGATGAGGTCTATCGTGTTGGAGACGGAGTTTCTACTAATGAGAGGGATTATGATTGTCAATATGGTGGTCTAATAGCGCTACTTACTGATTCTGAAGCGTCCAGCGATCCAGCATCAGCTCAGCCTCTTCTCTTCTCCAGCACACTCCTCAGCCCTCATTCTGAGCAAACACTGAACATGTAAACACATGTCTGAGGAGTGTGGGGTTGTTGAGGATGATCCGGAGAGAAAGCCTCGCCGCAGCTGCAGATCTTCAGCTCTCTGATCAGCTCGAGCCTCGAGCAGTTGATTGGTGTGCTAATAAAGTCTCCAGCTCCCGAGTATTCCAGAAGATTGTCTTTTACAGAGCAGACAAAAAGGTAAAATTGCCCAAATGTGATCCCAAGTACAGACCTTGACCTCTACCACAAATTAAAATCTTATGATTGTTTGATTTTAATGTTAACCTCATTAGAAATACACTCATAAACTGCCGATCAACCTCCTACACACTACATACTTCAACCTTCAAATGACTTCAGTATTAAAACTGCACAAGGCTTCAAATGGAGTCTTTGTCAAGACAACACACTAGGCCTTGAACTTGGTTCTTCATTTTATATTTAATATACACTGCCGTTCAAAAGTTTGGGATCAGTAAGATTTTTATAACTTTTTAAAGAAGTCTCTTCTGTTCATCAAGACTGCATTTATTTGATCAGAAATACAGGAAAAAACAGGAAAATTGTGAGATATTATTACAATTTAAAATAGATGTTTTGTATGTAAATATCTGTTAAAATGTAATTTATTTTTGAGATCAAAGCTGAATTTACAGCATCATTACTCCAGTATAAAGTGTCACATGATCCTTCAGAAATCATTCTAATATGCTGATTTATTATCAATGTTGGAAAAGTTTGCTGCATCATATATATATATATATATATATATATATATATTATTTTTTGGGGGGGGAGGGGTGCTGTGATACTTTTTTCTGGATTCTTTGATCAATAAGTTAATTTAAAATTGTAATTACATTTTATTTAAAATACAAATCTTTTCTAAAAATGTCTTTATTATCACTTATTAATTTAACACATCCTTGCTGAATAAAAGCATTGATTTCTTTCAAAAATAGAAAGAAAAAAAATCTGCCGACCCCAAAGTTTTGAACGGTAGTGTATATTGTTACAAAAGATTCCTATTTTTAATAAATGCTGTTCTTTTTTTTAACTTTTTATTCATCAAAGAATCTTGAAAAAAGTCTCACAGGTTCCCAAAAAATATTAAGCAGCAAAACTGTTTCCAATATTGATAATAAATCAGCATATTAGAATGATTTCTGAAGATCATGTGACACTGAAGACTGGAGTAATGATGCTGAAAATACAGCTTTGATCACAGGAATAAATTATATTTTAAAGTACATTAAAATAGAAAACAGCTATTTTAAATTGCTATAATATTTCACAATTTTACTTTTTTTTTTTTCTATATTTCTGATCAAATAAATGCAGTCTTGGTGAGCAGAAGAAACTTCTTTAAAAAACATGAAAATTCTTACTGATCCCAAACTTTTGTACTTTCAATGCATTTTTAAATGTTGGAATTTTAAAACATGCCCGTATTGGTTTGGAATGAATTATGGGATTATATAATTTTGACTCCAGATGGTGGCATTAAACTGAAATGATCTGCATGAAGAGAAACTGGAGGCCTGTGTTGTCAAACCTGCTGAGAATAGTTTCCGGACGAGCTCTTAGTGCTCATCTCTCCATCCGTTCACTACAAGCACTGAGAATAGCACATGCAGAAACAGATGAAGGATTTTACTCGGGTTATTCCGAGCTCGTTTCTTCAGCTCTTGAAGACTTTACAGATGATTCAGGGGATACCATGAAAGAGCGTTCGCTGGAAAGAGGCCATGTGAAAAACATCCAGCGACCATCATGTCTCATTTCAGTTGTGTTGAATTTCTTGACACCATGTGGAGAGAAACGATGAGAAATACCAGCATGACCTATGAGCTCACTGCTGATATTTCCATGTTTGAGCTAAATCTGGATGCAGTGACGCATTAAATATGAAACAGGCCACATTACAGCATTTGATTTTGGCTCTAGTATTACCTCCAGCAACACTATGAAACACTTGTTCACCAGCAACTTTTTCACATCCAACAATCTTACAAAAATCCACAAATCGTTAATTAAAACATTGCCATTTTTAAAAAGGCAAGATACTACAGACAAAAAAATTTATTAAAAAACATTGTTTTTCATGCAATGGTTTGTGCTTTCATAACATTTCAGACTAGTGGAAAGAAAACATCCAAAATACACCTTTAAGTGTTTCTTTTATTGCATGCTATCTGTTTGTGATCTTAGATTTCAACTACAATACTTATCTTTAAAGGCCGTAAAATAAGCTTTTTACATCAGCAGCTACACTACATATACCAAACTTTACCGTTTTATTTATTTTACTTATCTATATTCTGAACGATATTAGAGGTTAGTAAATATTATTCACTTGATTTTATACATCTCATTCATTAATAAAAAAAATCAATTACAATACATATCTTTAAAGCCTGTTTTCTCAAAAAAGTTTTTTTTTTTTCGATTTCAGTGACACTTACACAAACTTTACTGTTTTATTCCTATCTACAGTATATTCTGAATCGCTTTACAGAGGGGTTTGTTCATATATCATTCGCCCGATTTTATATAAAATTGTATTCCTAATAAAAAAGTATGTTTTTTTCTGGCTGTTTACAGTATTTTTAGATTTATAGAATGATAAAAAAAGAGAACTCCAAAATTCCAAAACTTTACCTCTAAAAATCAAACAAGAATTTTGAACCTGGTTTTTCCAATGTTCCGATTTTTGTTCTAGATATGTATGCAAATGAGTGTATACTTAAGTAGATAATGCATTATTTGCATATTTAAACAATCAACATCTTTTAGTGACATTTTAAACTCTACTCACCTGTAGTGTCTTGCCATAAGAAGTTGCTATATGTGACCCTGGAGCACAAAAGCAGTCTTAAAGGGTTAGTTCACCCAAAAATGAAAATTAGCCCATAAATTACTCACCCGCAAGTCATCCTAGGTGTATATGACTTTCTTCTTTCAGACGAATCCAGTCGGAGTTATATTAAAAATGGTCTTTGATCTTTCAAGCTGTTTATTTTTGCAAGCTGCGCATGCAAGCAAGTCTCGTGAAAACCAACGTTTGTTTACAGGATCAAAGGAAGCAAAGTTTCCTTACTTTAGCAAAGGAAAACCAGTCTCCTCTTGGCTTATATCGAAATCCTCAGACATTCTTCTTTACAAATCCTCGTTTTGTACTTCTAATTAGTGACCGTTGTTTTGTTTCGAATATGCATTGCTAAGAACTTCATTTGGACAACTTTAAAGATGATTTTCTCAATATTCTGATTTTTTTGCACCCTCAGATTCCAGATTTTCAAATAGTTGTATCTCGACCAAATATTGTCCTATCCTAACAAACCATACATCAATGGAAAGCTTATTTATTCAGCTTTCAGATGATGCATACATCGCAATTTCAAAAAATGGACCCTTATGACTGGTTTTGTGATCCAGGGTCACATATGTCGATTTGTCAGCACACAGACACATTTGCATCCTGTTGTAATGTTTTATTGTTCATAAATGAATGTTTCAGTGTAACAATTTTGGCTTCCAGCGAAGTTAAAAGCAGTGAAAAGGATTTGCATGCTTTGCAATTTCAAGATCTCGCAGCAAAAAAGAACGCGAAGTGACAAAGACTCGTAACAAAAGGAAGAACCGGTGAAGCTGCCCTGGCGATTCTCGAGCCCGGTGTTTATTTGACATCTGGTGGTGGATCTACAACGCCGGCGTGTGAATACGACCAATAACAGAGCAGGCTTATAAAGGACAAGTGAGCAGGACTAGTGTGTCGTGTCAGTGTTGGGTCCTGGCGCAGCCGCAGGGATCGCCGCACTTCCTCTTCCTGTCCCAGAGCGAGCGCAGCTCCTGCGCCGAGTGCTGCGGCGACGACAGCATGTCCACGTAACACTCCTTCTCACACAGCCAGCCTGAATCCTGACAAACACACACTACATTACAACCAATTCTAATCCTACAGCATTACTGGAGGTCACGGGTTCCATGGACTGATCAAATGCAAACCTTCAATGCAATGCAAGCCGCTTTGGATGAAAGTATCTGTCAAATGCATGAATGTAAACTCTATTTATGGACAAATAACCATAAACAGGGATGGCAACTGCTGCACAAATCAACATTGAACAGGCTGCAGAACACGCAACAAGCAATCTGTGTTCAGCCCCATAAAGATAGAATTTACAGTCATATATGCTGGAGTTTTATTTCTTTTTTTGTTAAAGTACTTTATTGGCATGATTGTGTTTACATATAATATTGTCAAGGCATTATACACAAAAAGTAATGACATGAAAAAGAAATATACCATATTACAATAACAAATAATAAAAAAGGTATTAAAATAATGTGCTAAGTAATTAAGATATTTAATTATATATATATATATATATATATAAAAATTATTGTTACAATGTAATATAAAAATTTTTTTAAAAATGCATTGCATTGAAAACTTTTATGATACTACCAAAAGCATGAATTACACTGATATAAGTTTAAAGTGTTTATTTAAAGCAATCAAACTTAAGACTAACCGTCAGGACGAATCTCTAACTCTAACTCTCTCTCATTTCTTCTATTGTCCTGAGTTAGGTGGGATGTTTTGAGAACAGAAGCCGTCACTCACTTTCCCCACCACAGGCTGCTCTGTGAGAGGCGTCTGCGCTCCGTCTTCAGCAGGACCGAGTCCACGTCGATATAGCAATCATCATCTGTCTTCAGCAGCAGCTTGAAGTCAGCGTTTCCCACCGACCTGCTCGCAGGAGGAATTCACACGCTTCATTACAAACCACTCCGCTCTGACTGAGTACATTCAGCAGCCAAGACAACAGAGTATGAGACACGACAAAAGCCCTGAGCGTGTCCTTTAGTGTGGAGGACATCTCAGTTACCATAGTAACCCTTACTGACTGACTGACAGGCAGATTTCTGTCAAGTTTACCAGGCAATGTTAAAAATGTCAAAATCAGTCAAGTATTTTTAGAATATTTCCGACCCCAAACATTTGGACAGTTGAGTGTGTGCATATAATGTTTTTTTTTTGTTTTTTTTTTAAGAAATTCATACTTTTATTCAGCAAGGAGGCATTAAATACATTTGAATTGTTAGAAAAGATTTATATATGTGTCCTTGCTGAATAAAAGCATTAATGTATTTGAATAAAAGCATTAAAAAAAATCTTACTGTCCCAAACTTTCATTATAGTTTTAAATTATTTGAAATTATATTTACATTATATTATTTAATTCGTTTTTATTTTTATTTATTCATTTTCATTGTCATTTTTAAGTTTTAGTAATTCTGTTGTTTTTTCTCATTTTTATTAGTTTTTATTCATTTTATTTCATTGTTATTTTAGTACATTAAGTTAAACATTTAATATTTTTAAATTAATTATTTTATTTTTATATTATTTTAAATTATATTTATATTATATTTATTATTTAATTAGTTTTTATTTGTATTTATTCATTTAAATTGTAATTTTTTGTTAAGTTTTAGTAATTTTTTTTTTTTTTAGTTTTTATTCGTTTTATTTCATTGTTATTTTAGTACATTAAATTTAATATTTAATAATTTTTAATTAATTATTAATCAAATGATTTTATTTTTAATCATTTTATTTTAGTTAACATTTATTTTATTTTTAATTATAACTGTAACAGTTTCTGTTTTAGTTAAACTAATTCAATCTCACTAATCAACTAGCAGGTTATGGTCAACTAGTCAGTCCTGACCCTTCCCCATACCAAACTAAAAACAACAACAACAAAAAAGCTCTAAATAGCTAAATGGCAAACTTGTAAGATTATACTATTCTTAGCTCCAGTCCTCACAGATCTGCAGAATTTTTAATTAATTATTAATCAAATGATTTTATTTTTAATCATTTTATTTTAGTTAACATTTATTTTATTTTTAATTATAACTGTAACAGTTTCTGTTTTAGTTAAACTAATTCAATCTCACTAATCAACTAGCAGGTTATGGTCAACTAGTCAGTCCTGACCCTTCCCCATACCAAACTAAAAACAACAACAACAACAACAAAAAAGCTCTAAATAGCTAAATGGCAAACTTGTAAGATTATACTATTCTTAGCTCCAGTCCTCACAGATCTGCAGAAATATATCTGGAGAACGAGGTCTGGGAGGTGATTGGGTGCAGCACTAACCATTTATAAAACTGCAGCAGTTTTAAAGGCACGTTCCTGTAGGTGTCCACCACGTCCACAAACACCATGTCTCCATGTCTGAGGCTCTCCTCCCGCAGGGCCTGGTCCTCCTCTCTCAGCTGAGCCTCGCGGATCCACTGCCGTCCGGCTCGCCCGCGCAGCAGCTCAGACAACACCTGCACATCTGAGAGAGAGACACAGATATACGGACAGTGTTCTATGATCAAATACAGCAGATCCATCAGACATTTAAAACTCTTTCAAACCAGGAGAAACTGCCGTATCTGTTAGGAGAACACAAGAACTGCTGTGTGTTTGCTGCTCAATATGTGTCTGCCTGTCACCATAGAAGAGAAAACACTCACCCTGCCCTGATCTGATGTTTCCAGCACATCTACATTATATTATGCCATATTACTCTATTATATTACTTAGATGTATATTTTGCTTCTGTAAATCTAATACTTTATCTTATTTTATTTCTAACTTATATACTTCCATACACTCCTCATTTTGCACTACATGCTTAATACTTTTTATATATTTTTATTATTATTACTATTATTCTTTTTCTTTCTGTTAATACATATGTGCACTATTTGTAAGCAGCCCAGCTGCAACTGCTTTGGCAATACAAATCTATAGTTTTTGTCATGCCAAAAAAGCACTCTTAAATTGAATTGAATTGAATTGAATTGAGAGAGAGAGAGAGAGAGAGAGAGACAC